AGCATATTGATGACTTGGAAATTCCTCAAAACATAGTAGATTTTAATTCAACAACGAATTCTCTTGGAATTGGCGAAAGTATGCTTGATAATCCAGTGGGAGGAGAGAATTTAGATTCGAATACTCTGGTTGAGGGGGAGAATTCTTTCGAGGGGGAGAATGGGAGAATGGATGATGTTGTTGAGGGGGAGCATCTAATTGAGGGGGAGTATCAAAATGATAATCGTGTTGAGGAGGAAAATGATACAATAAATGTTAATCAAAATGATGATTTTCATGATCTAAATGATAATGTTTCTGTTGTAGGATCTGAAAATGAAGAGATGTACGAAGATGCACCTTTAGAATTTGATCCGGCTTATCCACCGTTAGAGAAATGGAAAAAGACTCATCCAAAAGATCAAGTCATTGGAAATCCTCAAGATGGAGTATTAACAAGAGCTCAGATTCGTGCGAAGAATGAGGTATTAAATACTCATCAAGAATTTTGCATGTTCAATGTTTTCATATCTAAAATTGAACCAAAGACAGTTAAGATGGCAATGGAACACTCAGATTGGGTTGTTGCAATGCAATCAGAACTGGCTGAATTTGAAAGAAACAAGGTTTGGGGATTAAATCCTAAACATGAAAATGTTTCGATTTCGAATTAAAATGGATTTTCAAAAACAAAACCGACAAAGATGGAAATATTGTACGAAATAAAGCAAGAGTAGTTGTAAAAGGATATTCGCACCAATAAGGAATTGATTATGAAGAAACCTTTGCCCCTATTGCAAGACTTGAGGCTGTTCGAATATTCTTAGCATATGCAGCTCATAAGGATTTTGATGTCTATCAAATGGATGTGAAATGTGTCTTTCTGAATGGAGAACTCGAAGAAACTGTTTACGTAGAACAACCTCCAGGTTTCTTAAATGAAAAGCATCCTGATCATGTATACATTTTAGATAAATCTGTATATGGGTTAAAACATGCACCAAGAGCATGGTATGCAACTCTTTCCAGTTTCTTAAAACAGTCGAAATTTAAGCAAGGATCAGTTGACCCCACATTATTTCGAAAGAAAGTTGAGAGTCATTTGATGCTTGTTCAATTTTATGTTGACGATATTATTTTTGGCTCTACTGACCCTGCTTTGTCTAGTGAATTCGAAACTTTGATGAAAAGCCTATTTGAAATGAGCATGATGGGTAAAATCAATAATTTTATTGGCTTAAACATATGTCAAAACAGAGAAGACATATTCATCAATCAAGAGAAATATACAAGGAATTTGCTCGAAAAGTTTGGATTAACAAATAACACGAAGTTAAGAGTACCAATGGCTGTTGGGACAAAGCTAACACCTTCGTTAGAATCGCCTGTGTTTCATCTTACTTTATACAGGAGCATGATAGGTTCATTAATTTATCTTACTGCAAGTTAACCAGATATCATGTTTTCTGTATGTAATTGTGCCAGGTATTAAGCAAACCCTCGAGAACCACATTTAACAACTGTAAAGAATATCTTTCGTTATCTTAAGGGAACAATTTCGTTAGGATTGTTGTATCCTTCAAAAACGGGATTCTTCATACAAGCATTTTCAGATGCAGTTCTAGGAGGGTGTACATTGGATCGAAAAAGTACAAGTGGTGGTTGTCAATTGTTGGATCGAAAAAGCAAACGTGTGTTTCGATTTGTACTGCTGAAGCCGAATATGTAGCAGCTGCTGCTTGTACATCACAAATTATTTGGATTCAAAGTCAGTTGAGAGATTATGCTTTGAATATGAAAAAGATTCCACTGTATTGTGATTCTCAAAGTGCTATACGCATTTGTCATAATCCAGTACAACATTCAAAAACAAAACATATAGCTCTTCGTTATCACTTTATCAAAGATCATGTGGAAGATGGAAACATCAAAGTCCATTTTGTAAAAACAACAGATCAGCTTGCTGATATTTTTACAAAAGCTTTGGATGAAAAATCATTTCTTCGAATTTTGACAGGTTTGGGAATGATTGAAGCGAGTTCAGTTCCAGTAAGAATTTCGAATGTATAGCAAAGGCGTGCTATACAAGTGTGTCGATTCAGAGGCGATAAGACGACATTCAGCGGTTACTGTTCATAGTCAATGCTTCGACACGCTTTGAATTCGACAATTTGCATGATAATTGTGCGGTACAAAATTTTCGTTAGTTTGTCAAAATTTTCGTAAGGTTGACAAATTTTCGTTCGTTTACCAAATTTTCGTAAGGATGGCAAATTGTAGTATGTTTACAAATTTTCGTTTGTTTGTAAAATGTTTTTCGTAAGTTTGGTTCTTAGTTTTATTTTCGAAAAATCAAAAACTCCATAAAGATTTTATTTTTGTATTGTTGTTTCGTTTTTGAAAACTCAGAAAGTCCAAAAAGATTTTATTTTTGTATTGTTGTTTCATTTTCGAAAAATCAAAAACTCCAAAAAAAATTTCTTTTGTTCATTGTTTTCTTATTCGAAAAATTCACAAAAACACAAAAATACTTTATTTCTGTTAGAAAAATCAAAAATATCAAAAAGATTTTTTTTATTCTCTTTGTTGTCTCTTTGTGCAGATTACACGAACATTTTTCAAGGGTCATGCTTGCATTTCTATCGGAAGGTCAAATTTCGATAACTATGTACTAGTTAGACTGTCCCTAGATGCATGCTGCAGCATGTTGACCCAAGCCTCTGTAGACTCAATGTGTGTTTACGAAAGCCTTAATGAAATTTTTCATACCAAAATTTGTTCCCAAGTCAGGCTTATATTCACATTAGTCGATTGAGCTACCTTACACTTCTCAGATGAGTTAAGAGTTATCTGTTTTGTCTGAAAATAACAGAGGTACAATTCATTTCTCAAAACCAATCTTTTTCATCACAAAGTTCTTACACATTTCACACACAATGACATATGTCCGAGAGGTCATTGATCAAACCAATAATGACTTAGGCATATCAAACGTCTGTGTTTATGATCTGACATCATGAGACCGTGATGAAAGTGAAACCGAATACTCTATTTTCGTAAGGAATTGACGGGGAACCAAGTTCCAGTTTTGACGAAACATTTGTTTCAGTACCACTTTCGAAACTCAAAATCATATTCTATTCTTATGCGTGATCTTGATCAAACTATCGAAACCCACGATGTTTGTTACCCAACAGGATCCAGAACTAATATTTATTTTATGAATATGATTTTTGTATGAGTTTCATTTGCTTTCAAAGACACACTCAAAATATTTCAAATCATACTTGTCACTGACTACACTGGTCAAACAAGTAATTTCTGTTACAATTACTCACCTTATGTTTAGGATGATATGTAACGAAATTATAAACCACCCACTAAGCCTAACAAAAGAAGCCCTTCAATACTTCGCTACAAGTATTCAATTGTAATTCACGAGAACATACATAAGCAGTTGATTATCTCTCTTGATAATTAATGAAGTAACCTTTGCCCGGGGTTTCTCTACTTTTGTGTCGAAATTTTGTTTTGACATCAAAGATCCGAATTTTCGTTAATTTGTTTCTTATCTTTTCTTTGTCACACATCACAGGCGAAATCCTTGAGGTTCTGAGTACTAACAACTCAGGATGATGATTTCAACAGTCTAGCAAATGACTTCGTCTCTAAACCCAAAGACGAAAGAGCTTAACCTCCATCCGAAGGTTGATGACGGTTACTATTCCTTGAGGTGATACGAACAGACTGTGTGAGGAGAAGTTTCCTGGTTTCAAGGAGATGTGACAGTTACTTTTTGACGTATGACAACTTTTTTGGCAGACTGGTGCGACTTTTAAGCTGCCACGTCAGATTTCAATCAATGCATATCCTGCGTTCAATTCAAATCAAGGGTTTCATATAAAAAGGGCATTTACAGATTCTTTATCTTTTTACGCTCACAAAATAAATCAAATACCCAAATTCTCTTTGTTCTTCAAAGCTTTTAAACCCTAGTTATGGCTGGCGTTGATTCTACTTCTCGAACAACTGAAGACATCACTTCTCAACCGATTATGAAGATCCAGAACACTAATTACCAAGTGGAAGGGGATGTGTCTTTGTATCCAGAAGAATTGAAGATGCTAATTGTCGCATTGAAGAGTTCTGTTCTTTCCAAGGCGATGTTCAATTCATTCGCAGTTCCTCTCTCATTGCTTTCTCAGGCAGGATCCACTGCTACTTATAGCAAAGCAATGGATATCATCACCTTTCAGTTGGTGAATGACAAGAAAATCCGCTTGTCCAAGAAAATTTTCTGTCAGATTCTGGGTATTCCAAATTCTCAACTTGTTACTAATCTCACCTATGCACAAGTTATTCATATGATTAATGAGATGGGTCATCAACCCCCACTCACGAAGATTAGTGATTTCAAGAAATCAGCTTTGCCAACTGTTTGGAATTTCTTGTTTGGGATCTTTCTTCGATGCTTGACAGGTCGAAGTGTGGGTTTAGACAAAGGTCGCATGGAGGTGTATGCGATGGTGGCTGAATTATACTATGATATCTCTGTCGACTACTCTACACAACTATTGAAGGAATTCCAAAAGAGTGTCGAAACCACGAATGTCGTTCAAGGTATTTCGTGTGCTAGGTATTGGAGCTTAATACTTGGTTATTTCTATGAAAAAGAAGGAATTGATGTTCCTGCTGATAAAGAAAAGGCCGAGTTTCTAAAGTATCACTTTCCAAAAGAAGTTTCGGATGATATGGAAGTTTTCACCCACATTGCTCGGATTCCTGATGCAATGTTAAAGAGAGTTGAGCCAACAAATTCGGTGTTGGTTGAATATTTGAAAACTGTCAATCCAGATGTTGAGACTGGAAAATTATTGTCGAAAGAAGAAGCTGGTCCTTCCAAGAAGTCTAAGTGTTCCAAAAAGGATGCAAAGGCTACACAAGAAAAGCAAGTGCACGAATCAAAGAAGTCTCTTGAGAAGATTGTGCACGAATCCACGAAGTCTCCAAAGAAGCTTGAGATGGCTGGAGTGAATGTTTCGACTGATGTCATCAAACCAGTGGAACATATTGATGACACAACAGTGGCTGAGAAAATACATTCAAAAGCTAGTGTTTTCCGAAAATTGAAGAAAAGAAATAGGGGTTCACGAAAATCTTCTCCTTCTAATGTTCGTAAACCACAACTCTCTCATCAAGGAGTCATTTTTCGAGAGGTTCCTGCCCCAGTTTCGCCTCAGTCCAACGAACGTAGAGCTGAAGACGTGGCCAAATGTATTTCAAAGAAGAAGAAAAGACAACAAAAGTTGGTTGTCCAAGAGGACTCATCTGAAGAAGAAATTGTTCCTGAAACACCAGAACCAATTGTTTCTCAATCGGTATCTACTCCTGAAAAGACCACTGTCATACCACCCGAAGTATCGTTAACTGAATCACATACTAAGGAGGTTCGAACTTCAGGCATTTTTACACACGTATCTGATACGGATGTAGATGTCAATATGGGTGAGGGAGAGTCGAACAAAGAGGTTGAGGCTACTTCTCAAGGTATTCCTGTATCTTCAAAACCATATACTTTCATGTCTTTACCTCCTTTTATTGTTCCGAATACTACAAGTTCTCCAACTTTTGAAAACATTCTTCATCAACCCTTTACAACTCCTTTTCCATCTCAATCTACTGATTTACCCAAAATTGATTCGCCTATTAAACCTTCACCTGTTGTTGAACCTGATACTGACAATGAAGGTTTTGGAGGTGCGTTTGAGGCTTTACAGTTTGATGATGAAGAAGATCACTTTCCTGATCATATGTTGATGAGAATGAAACAATTCAAGATTCTCAACCAGAAATTGAATTCTATTCTTCAATCTGAAGTAGATTTGGGGAGTCATTCGTCTGTCTCTAATATGGAAGTTGATAGTTTGCTGAAAACTTTCGAAGCAAAGGTGGTGAGTAAAGTCTCTGGAATGGTCCGAGATTCAGAGGTTCATCTCTTGGAAAAGATTAATCACAATGATCAAAATGATGAATTAAGGGTTAATTCTTTGAATTCGATGTTTAGAGGGGAGGTGAAAGAATTCAAGCATTTGGTGAAAGAACGCCATGTGTTATTCGTTCAAGATCTCAAGAACGCGAGGGAATGTAACACCCGGATTTTCGGTTGTGATAAAATGAGTATTATTTTCTAAGTTATGAGGAGTGACTCGACAAGTTGGCGCCTTAAGTCGTCGAGTAGGATCGCGACTTGGTGAGTTGACAAGCTGACTCGCCGAGTCAGCGCTGTTGGCAGAAACCCTAATTCTTTCGGGCTTGGGCCTATTTAAAGGCACTTATAGCCTCCTTGGCCCTTCCCACCAGTGTCTTCGTCCCTTGAGAGAAAACCTAGAGTAAATTGTGAGCTAGAGAGGAAAGAGGCCAATTGGAGGTCATTTCTTTGAAGAAGAAGGTCAAGAGTGTTGCAAGGATCTCAAAGGAGAGTTGGTGGATCAGCTTCATCTTCATTCAAGCTTCGGATCTGGTACAAGCTCTTGTCTCCCTGGTGTTTGAATAGATTTCCTTTGGTTATTGAGTTAGGGCTTGTAACACCATTTGGATGGGGTTTTGGGTGCATCCAAACCCTTTTACAAGTTATTTTGTAGATCTGGACCTTGTGAGGTCCAGAGAACCAGAAAGTGGGTAGCCTTGAGAGAGTAACTTTGGAACCTTGAATCTATGAAGCTTCAATGGAGTCATGATGGTGTATAGAGCAAAATACACCATGCATGAGCCTCAAGTTCAGACCTTTACGTGATTTTTTGGAGTTAGAAGGTAAGATCTATAACTTAGAGAAACAGATCTTACCTTAGAAGGTCGTTTGAGCATTCTCATGGAAGGAACTCGCCGAGTCCATGAGAGGACTCGACGAGTTGGATTGTGTTGCACCACGATTCGTGATCAGTGGTAACACGTCGAGAGAAGGGTTAACTCGACGAGTCGAGTAAGCCCTTAGGAGGATTCAGAGGACACGCATGGACTCGCCGAGTCACCTGAGTATACTCGACGAGTCTGGTCAAAGTTGGTAGTTGACTGAGGTTGAGTTTTAGGGTTTGGTCAACATTTGGACATTGGACCATTGGAGGGGTAAAACGGTCTTTTCCCCTTATGAGAGATTGTAGGAAGGGATCAGTGTAGCCTATGAGAATCATTGTTGATTAAAAAGTATTATCATTTTGATAGACGGAGGCTAGATCGGGGATATCGAGCACGAGAGTTTTCTAGACGTCATGCGAGGTGAGTCTTCTCACTATACTTTACCTGGAATGGTAACTATGAGTGACCGGAAGGTCTTATGTGCTATGACGAGTATGTGATATACGTTCCTATGTGATATGTGACCTGAAGGTCTTATGTGCTATGACGAGTATGTGATATATGTTCCTATGTGATATTTGACCGGAAGGTCTCATGTGCTATGACAAGTATGTGATATACGTTCCTATGTAATATGTGACCGGAAGATCTTATGTTCTATGATGAGTATGGGGTATATGTTCCCATGTGATATGTATATGTTATGTATGAATGAGTAGCATGGTAAGGACCGGAAGGTCAGTATGGCATGAACCGGAAGGTCAACAGGGTATGGATCGGAAGGTCAGCAGTGTATGGACCGGAAGGTCAACAGGGTATGGACCGGAAGGTCAGCAGTGTATGGACCGAAAGGTCAACAGGGTATGGACCGGAAGGCCAGCAGTGTATGGACCGGAAGGTCAACAGGGTATGGACCGAAAGGTCAGCAGTGTATGGACCGGAAGGTCAACATGGTATGCACCGGAAGGTCTACTCAAAGGGGTGGGATCGGAAGGCCCCTGAGACACATTGACCGGAAGGTCTAGTAGAGTTATAGCCTCGAGTGGCTAGTTGTACGTGTGTGGTATTTTAGGGAACTCACTAAGCATTTATGCTTACCGTGTTATGTGATATGTGTTTCAGGTACCAGCGAGGATCATGGGAGGGCGTCGGCATGATTTGTACACAATGGCAGAGGATTATGTTTTGAGATTCGGGGTTATGTTTTATTATGATGACATTTGATACATGAGATTTGAGAATGTTATATGAGTTTTATTATGTTTGAAAAATGAAAAATTGTTTTAAAATTTACGTCGTTACAAGTTGGTATCAGAGCCTTGGTTTGAGGGATTCGGATGCAACTTCGGGCGTATTTGAACTCAAACTGAGGATTTGAGGAAATTTTCATAAAAGAAACAATTTTTCTAAAAGAGTAAAAGATTTTTGAGAAAATCAGAACGGAGTAGTGTGTACGATCAACCAGCGCCCGAACGGTGATTTCCCAAAGTACCCTTACATTATGTGTTATGAGATATGATGTGATATGCTATGCATGCTAGAGATAGGCTAGGTACTTCATATTTTAGGACTAGAGTGCCCTGATATGTGATGCCTTAGCCTAGGAGTTGCTGTTATATGCGATGTGCCTTCGAGTATGTGTTGAGTATGAGTATCCAGCAGGAATCCTTTTAGAGGGGGATTTGAGTAGAGGAGTAATATAGGAGAGATACCTAGATGAGCATTAAGGAGTCAACTGAGAGAGCAATCAGATGCCCGCGTGGGGTAAAGTTGCTTGAGTTTGGTGATCGAGAAGGTTGAGCAGCTGCTTAGGAACTCAGGGATGGTCCATGTAGAAAGTATGGGTAGATGTGGCAGGTAGTATGGGCCCGTACTACTGAAAGCAGAGGACCCATACTCGATACAGGGAACATTCCGGAGGTTTTAAGTAGCAGATCGAGAAGTGATTTCATTGTTCGAGTACCATGATTTGTAGCAAATCAAGAGGTTATTTCATGGTTCGAGTACCATGATTTGCAGCAGATCAAGAGGTGATTTCATGGTTCGAGTACCATGATTTGTACCAGATCGAGAGGTGGCCACATGGTTCGAGTACCATGACTCGTAGCGGTTAATGCTTCTGGTTTACCAGTAATTCTGTTGTGATTGGTTAGTCCGGGATCAGATGTGAAAGAGTTTGGGGCCAGAGGCCCATGTTGAACGAGTTTCAACGAAGCATCCCTTGTGAGGGAAGTCGAGTTAGCTCCGAGGGATTTTTGGTGAGATGCCAGTTGGAGTCGCAAGACTCGAGGATGAGTAGGGATGGTGCGTTATGGGAGAATACGGTCTGGGCTGTGCGACCGGCCGATAGTGGAGATGTCATTTTCTGTGACCTGAGCGGTGCTATTTCTGTTCCTGTGGGAAACAGGAGAGGTATTGAGATTTTCGGTTTTTTAGGTTGGGGGGTGAGCCCTGTCGGGTAGCTTTGGTTACGATTTTTCATCAGAGTATCTGGGTAGTACGTCTGCCGCGAGGTAAGGATACAGCATGAGCAGGTTGTCAGTGGGGACTGAAATGGTCAAGGACCAGGATACACCCTATTTGAGCATAGTAGGGCATGTATTAGCTGCAGAGGCAGACGATCAAGAAGAGGATATTGGGGCGGTGGCTCTTATTTTCTATGATGAGTATCGAGTGTGGTAATGAGGTCTCCGCTCTTATTACAACCCACGTGATGGAATGTTGGTTGAGGAGTCGAGAATGAGGAGTATGATAGTTCATTATTTTCAGATTAAGAGTCAGAGTTACTACTGGACAGTTGAGATGTCAGGTAATGGGATGGTATGGGATCCTATATGATTAGAGGCAATCATGATGAGAAGTTTATGAGGATGTCATCTGAGATTTGCGGTACTTGGAGTTGCGGGGTCTCTATCGGGGAGACCACCAAGTATTGTGTAGTACCTTCCAAGAGTAAGTGGGATGTTCCTGGTGGGAAGAGTGTGTGGAATAGATTATTGGTGCGACAATTGGTGATGGTTCGAACCCTGAGTTGGGGAGAACCGGGTATTTTTTTGAGCGGATCAGAGATTTGTTCAAGAGCGGTTAAGGAACTGGATAAAGACATGCATTATGGATTCATGAGACCAGGGTTCTTGGTGCTCAAGGCGAGGGCAGATCGAGATAATACATGTTGTACGTGTTAAGGAAAGGACGGGTGTCTCCACGAAGGGTGGCCGTCGGTCGAAGGCCGTATGGTGGTTAGTAAAGATAGTTTCGACGGCTGGGAATTTCTAGCTCAAGGAATGGGAATATTCCGAAGATACGTGATGTGTGGCATGAAGATTATTTGTGAATCCTGAAGGAACGCATTGTCGTATCTGTGTACGATGCTGTAAGTAGGAGATCAGTGGTTGAGACAGGACATCATGAGGTTCTGTGATGGTGTACCAAGGTATCCGAGTATGATGTTCTAAATCTAGGATTATGGTAAGACTTGAGTTATGGGATGACGAGTGGGGTATCAGGTGTCTACGGTTCCAGTGGGAACCCTTTCAGCTAATTGACATCAAGCGAGATTATTCGAGAATGTGGATTGCAGCAGGGAAAGGTGTTATGTTATGGCGGCTGTAGTCAGGAATAGCAATGCATAATTTTGGTAAACGTGTACACCTATGGTTCGTCCACAGGGCATGAGTTAATATCGCAGTGTTGCGTCGACCTGTGGATGAGATTGTGTAGTGGTAAGAGCAAGGGCAGTAAGACTACGGGGAGCCGTAGTACTCACTATTCAGTGAGAGATTGTTGTGATGCTGCGGGGAGCCGTAGTACTCACTATTCAGTGAGAGGTTGTGATGCTGCGGGGAGTCGTACTACTCACTATTCATTGAGAGGTTGTTGTGATGCTGCGGGGAGCCGTAGTACTCACTATTCATTGAGAGGTTGTTGTGATGCTGCGGGGAGCCATAGTACTCACTATTCAGTGAGAGGTTGTTGTGATGCTGCGGGGAGCCGTAGTACTCACTAATCAGTGAGAGGTTGTTATGATGCTGCAAGTGTTGGATTAGTGTCTAAGTCCATAACTATAATTGGTATGTACTTGACTCGACTCGGCATGGTCCATTTGGGTTGCATGGCATCGGAACATTTGGATAGACCGTTTATGAGGAAAAGACATTTTGTGACATATTAATATATTATAAGTTCTAATATCTTAATATGAAATCATGTTATTTAATTAGTATTGATCAAGAATTAATTTGGACTTAATTTAGTGATCAAAAAGAGGCTAATTAAATATATGGGGATTGATTGTGT